TCCGGGCTCGAGTCCCCTTTGGTCCGCTCTGGCTGAACAATCGCAATTCCTAAGCACGACGCCCGTGCGCAAAGTGCAGTTTCGCAGCTCCAGCTCAAAAACCGCAGCTTTGCGGTACAGAAGTCGTGCGCAGCACACGAAGAAGCTTGCGCCGCATTACCAGCGTTGAGAAGGATGCAAGCTGAAACTTGGAGACAGAGCTTGCACAAAGAACTTGCACACACAAACTTGCAGCGACAGCTTGCGTAAAGAAATTGCGCACAGAAGTTACATAAGGAAACTTGCACAGAGAACTTGCGCAAAGAAGCTTCCATGAAGATTGCGCAAAGCCCACTCTCACAAAGAAGATGCAAAGAGAGCTTGAGCAGCTTTGTGGGGTTACTGTTGCTCGGCTGCGAAATCTGTTCCCCTGCTAAAAGTCTAACTTTTCTTGTTGGCAAAAAGCTAAGGTCCTAACATCCAAGCAAAATGCACCAAAGATTGAATACCATTCCCTTGGATTTCCCTGTCAAGCAAGACCCAAAAGGGTACCAACTTGAAAACAACGACACTCTGTCTTGTTCAAAGAGCCTAAAACCCACCCTCGGACACACAACCCGATCACCTGTTTTCAAGTGAATGGTTGGCAAACTCGATTTTCAACAGCCCCTGTTGGGAACTGTCACGGTGCGGATAGTGGGGCCAAGTCTGTTCACAATCCAAGGGATGGATGGACGGCCCCAAAGGATGGCCCAGTTTAAAGGTATGCCCAAAGGAGACTAAAGGAGGCTGTTAAACCGATGGGTGGCTGAAACATCCTTGAAAAAGGTGCCGAGTCTTTAAACATGTCAAAGGACGTAGCATTCTTTGGGACAAGAGCTTTGCCAGTTCAACCCCGAGTGCGTCGTCGTTGTGGGCCCAAAACAGGGGTTGACTTTTGCTTGAAGCATCACCTTCAAACTTCAAACCACTCCATTTCATGGGTTCCCAAGAAGCATTCAAACAAAGAGAACCAATTAATTGGTTTTCTGAGATTGTGGTTACTCTTCCATGGTGAGCAAGGCGAATAATTACTAACATCAATTCCCCATGACTGCCGTCAGTATTATTGTTGCCCAACCCCCCATTCCAATGATTTAGCCACTTAACTCCAAACACGGATCATCTCCCGTCCACGTGGAACCCACCAAATGGGCCCTTTTAAAGAAATCAAGTCTTCCAGGACCCTCAGGTTCCATGTGGGCAGGAGCGTAACCCCTTATCAACCCAAATTATTTACAAAACAAAACATAACAAAACTATAAAGCCCTAATTTAAAAGCAACAACAACTACAACCCCCTTTAAACACCGAAAATGAGGACATAATCTAGCCGCTTACGTCGACTAACCCCAAAAACGGAGTCAACTCCAAACGACGCCCCCCCCCCCCCCGCTCCTGGGCCGCGACATCCTCCGGGCTCAGGTCCGAGTCGTTGACCCAGGAGGCCTCGCGATCGCTTGCGCGCGCAAGCGGAGGCGCTTCGGGTGGGTCCGTCCCCCGGTTCAGTGGAGTGACCCTCCCGTCCGTGACATGGTTTGGTGCACAGATTCCCCGGTAGAAACAAACAAGGAAGTGACTTGACTGACATGGAAGTGCACAGATGTTTGTAGAAAGACGACTTTCCTCTTGTTTAAAAGGGATTTGTGCACTTCCGTGTTAGTTGGTGGGCAGGGTCACCCTGTCAAGAATGTGGGTTATATCCCAGGCGGTTGCCACTTAATAACTTGGCAACATCTAAGTACCCTTTCAAAAGTTGGTATCTTAAAGGAAAACCAGAAGGAAAACCGTTGCGCCATTCTTGGGCTTCCCTCAAAGAAAAACACACCCAAGTACAAAGCTTTGGTTCTACGGCTGTACCTCTTACTTCTGGCCCCATTGTTTCACCAAAGTCATGAGCCCAGTACTTTCCTGGGTCGTTTGGTGACAAAGCTCTCGGTGTACCTAAAGTGGATGTCCATGGGGGAAAAAACATTGGCAATCTGTGCTTGATTGATCTTAACGGGACATCCAGACAACCCAAGCACCTTCTAAGGATGGCTTTGGCTTCAAGGGGAAGTACCTCCTGACTTAGACCAGAAAACGGACGTGTTTCAATGGAATTCCCACTTCCTGACTAAGGGCTATCAGTGGGTGTCTTTTTTTGAGGGTACATGTCTTGTGGATTTAAAGGACAACCAAGAGGAAAACCACCTTTGTTGGGGTCCCCAGACAAAACACCCAAGTGAACATCTTGAGAACCCCCAATCTTTGGGCGGGTGCCTTCAAGTTTCCGCCCGGGCAATGTACCAAACCTGAAAAAGGAACCTCTCAACATATCCGTATTTCATTTCATTCCACCCCCTAGCCACTCTCCGCCCCCGCCCGCTTTGCTCCAATTGAAGCCAGGCAGTAAGCTTCTGTGGAAAAGGAAGGACCCTCAAAAGGCGATTCGAAGCCAGGCTGGGAGGAAAAAACGACCCCGAACCACAATCTGGAACCTCAGAAGGGGTTTTGACCGAGGGCTGCTCTGCAGATTGGCCGGGCCAGGCTTAGGTTCCCCTGCAAAAAAAGCGGTTGTTTGCTAGTTGAATGTGCAATTGAAAGCTCACAATGATGGAGCACCGAACAAAGGCAAAGCTAAGTGCAAGTTCTGGTCTGGCAAAGGCGAGCACTCCTTTTGGCGGACCCCCCTTTTCGGGTTCCATGTTGGTTTGGCAAGTCGTTTTGTCTCGGGTGGGCCTGATTTTGCAACTCTGCCCTTTCTTCTCAACCCCCGGCGGCCGAAAGCTCAAGTCAAGCTCTTGATGTACTTGGATCCTTGGGGTAAGCGTAGTTTTGCCGAGTCCTACAATATCAGTTCTTGTCCATGGCACAATATCATTTCTTGTCCTACAATAACACTTGTGCAAAGATCGAATGTGAAGCCCCCCCAGTTTAATTTCCCAAATGCCCAATCAAAGACAACCAGTAGAAACAGGGGGCTCTGTTTGGAGTTCATCTTGAACCCCACGCACGTGGCACAAGTGCCCCGAGGGTTGAGGGCCGTACCCAAGAACCAAAGTGGTTCTGAATGGACCGCAAACTGATCATAAAGGCTTACACTGAAAAACATACAACCCTGTCCAACCTTTTTTCCTTTTTTCACGGACGATTGGGGCCGTTTCAGCTGGGGGTTCGTTTTTCAAGACATCGTGCACCCTTTCAAACCATCCAAACAGGTCCATGTCAAAGAAACCATACTAATTAGTCGGTCAAAATGTCCAAATTTCCCTTTGGATGGTCCGGTTCTTGAGTAAAGAAACCTTAGCTGGTCCACCGATTAGAGGGTAGAACCCTAAACCCTTTCTCGCCCTTGGCAGACACCCGAAAGCCACTCCCCTCTTCTCAGCCTGCAAGTTGTCCAGCAGCACCTGCACCTCAAATGCTCTTTCCACTTTCGGCGAAGCCCCATTTGCATGTTTCCTTTGGGGACATTAACAATTGTGAGCTATTTAGAACCCTCGAAAATCAGCGCCCGGCACTTTCTCAAAAAAGGAACGTCGTCTTCCTTACTTTGCGAGTTACGGTTGAATCCCCGCCAAGTTGCCCAACCCAGAAGCGACTGAGAAAGAACAGAGCCGATCGATCGACTCATCGGTGCGCACCTGCTTGTTCGTATTGGACCCCAGGCACCTTTAAGGACACCAACGGACACTAAAGCATGTCGTGTTTGCCCTCGGTTCAGTCTTCCGAGCTAGAGCACCGGAGGCATGCTGGCTTAGGGAAGGTTGAGTCAGTTGCCCCAAGGGCCGGCCGGTTACAAGGTTGCCCTCTTGGAACCTTGACCAACATGAACCAGAGGAAAATACACAAGGCCCAGGATCCAGGTCGATTCACTTTGGCGAGTTGATATTGGCCCTAATTTGAGAGCTTGACATGCGCTAGGGATCTTCCCAATGGTTTCATGTAGAGGTTGATCAATATTCTATTTAGAGCCCCAAAATGACCCATGGGTAACTGTTCAACCATGGGCTGAAAGTCGCATCTGTTTTGGTGGTTTTCCTACTGCCCACCACATGTAGAGGACCTTTTGATCAACCCCCATGTAGCTTGTCCTGGAAATTTGTCCAAGAGTCCCCCTGACGCCCAAAGAATTAAAGCCAGCACCAGTCAGAAAGGAGACACACACGCACACACACCTAGCAAGTTGCCCATTCACCCTGGTATAGAAAGGGAACCTTTTTTGGGGGATAGATAACACTTGTTCGTGTAAAACCCTTCAAATAACAACCGGCTTAAAGAGTGTTATTGAACGTAACCGAACTGGAGGGCTTCCTCATATGGGTTTGTGTTGTTGGAAGTAGGGGCCGACTTAATTGTCGGTTCCTCTTGTCCGCTTCGAGCTAACCACAAGGGAGGTACCCAAAATGGGTTGTCCATGCAAGCAAGCACAAAAATCAGCGGCTTGGTCAAACAAAAAACAATTGACCACCCAGTTGACCAACCAGCCAACCAGCCAACCAGCCAACCAGCCAACCAACCAAACCAAACCAACCCACCGACCGACCAACCGACCGACCGACCGACCAAACCAACCCACCGACCGACCGACCAACCCACCGACCGACCGACCAACCAACCAACCGGATGTCCATACCCATACCCATTTGACCCACACCCATGTGACAAGACCCTTCTTGATTTGAACATGAAAAGGCCCAGCGGCGGAGGCGCGGGAGTGCTTGCGCCAAGGGATGCTCTGCTCCACGCCTAGCGTGCGAACTTCACTCGCGGTTCCCGTGCCGAGCTCTCAGGTTCCAGTTGCAAAAGGTTTTTTGTTTGCAACTCAACATAGAACCTCAAAAACAAGAATGAGTTCTGGAGGAATCTGTTATTTTGACACTTTGTTGGAGTGCCATTTTACTCTCCCCACAGCTTCATGTTGCCATAGATGGTTACCGGCAAAACCATCATAAACTGAAGATGAGCATACCTGGTTACCTGCTATCGTGGTAAACTTTTGCTCTCCTGCTGGTTGACTTGGAGCCTGCAAACTACACGGAGCCTCATGTCTGTAAAGGTGCAAATGTATGGGAAGCAGATGGTACAATTCCCGGTAGCGGCCAAGTGAAGGGCCAAGCACTGTTTATGTATAAAATATACAAACACTTGAAGCGGCCCCACCGCAACGCTTAATTTTCGGGCAAACATCAGGTCTCAGGTGCTAGGCTTGGTATGTTCCAAAGGACACTCACAAATCAACTTGGCCTTACCAAAAAGCTTACGCTTTGGGCTTCGGCTCCAACCCCGAACCTGTTTTTTGACTACACACCATTTTATTTCGCGCCCCAACCAGTGGCTCAAACATGGAATCCCCAAAATGGCATCCTAGTAGCTGGACACTAAGACTAGAACCGGCTGCCTAATTTCGAGCCACCAGGGTGTCTCGCCTTCTGTGCCCCAAGGTCCGAAATGACTTACCCTGGGAAACGAGAGGACATGGAAAAAGGTGTGACCCCCCCAAATCGCCAATGTCCCTCCCCAATGAACGATTTGACAAAAAAACACTGCAAATGGTAACCAAACCTCATATGGGTGTGAAACTAAACCAGGGAGTTGGTGGACATCACTTCCCTGAAAATTCGTGTCTACCACCGTTGTGGAGCTTCCTCACTAGAAACAAAAAGTGTCGGATCGCCTTTAAAACGCCCTGAAGGACACCCTTTTCGCTGCAAGTACAGTCAGTTGCCAAAACCTACGATCAGATGCAGGGCAAATGCATTGAACTTGGCATGATTCACCTGTGTTGTTTCGCCTTGCGTTCAGCCTACCCCTTCTTCGGTCAAGTTTCACTTTTCGTGGCTTAATGGAAAACCCATTGGTCAAAGTTAAAGTCCTAACATCCCTTGGCAAAATGCACCAAAGAAAACCCAGCGGTTCCTCGCGGTCCGTTTTGCAACCGCCCGCCTGTGCGCCTCAGGAAGTTGAGTCCCAGAACAAGCTCGTCGCCGGCTCCGAACCTTGGCTCAAGGGATCGCAGCTGCCGGTGGAAGTGGCTCCTAGGGCGCCCCGTGTGGGGTGAAAGGACATGAACCCCAATTTTATATGGGTGTGTCTTCTATTTGGAAGGAATTGTGTGGGTTTATCTTCTATTTGGAGCATATCCTTTGTGGGGTGGATTGAAATCTTCTTCGTTCTGGAGGGTATCCTTTTTGGATTGACAGGCAAACGGGGAACAAACCATTTGGGGCTTCCCCTTTGAGGCAAACCCGCGTGTCTTTAAGTATGAGACCCCAAAATGAAGGTTCGTCAACTTGAGTTTAGTGTCCCTGCTATTAACAAACAGTCCAAAGGGTACCCTCAAACAAGATACACATCCGCAATGTTACAAAAAAATCAAAACCTGAAATACAGGGTCCAAACAAAGGACCTACATCATGGTGAGCTCATGTTACACCAGGTCAGGTCGCCAAGGAATTGAGGTCTGGGGCATATACACTCCAAGAATCGTCAAGGTATCTTCTGAGGTGTACTTTGAGCCATGTTCACTGAGCACAGGGCATGTATACATGCATGTATGCATTTTTATATTGTATATATACATATAGCCACAAACTATGTTGATATTCCCTGGTGTAAAATGGATTCCATACTGAACAGCAGGGGCTAGTAAGCCTTGAGGCCAAACTTGCGGCCTGAACAATTGAGCGAGGGTCTTTCGCCTGCATGAAGGTTACACATCTCTTCATTTGGCTAAGGTGACCGCAACAACATAACTACCACTCACCACTTTGGTCTAACTGCCACCAGGGGAAAACAAATCCCAAGCAAATGGAAGCGTGTGCAGTGCAGCACGCCGCAAATGGTGCTTGAAACATCAAAGTTCTTCTACTAGCTAACTCCCTCAAAGCAATTCGCCCCACGCCCCAGGAACCCACCCCCCCGCTTACAGTCGTTTACGTGTGGAGCTCCCTTATCACAAACCTCCGAGACGTCGCACATTTTCGGGTCCCCCGGCGTGGCCAGCTCGCGGGCACCCTGTGCCCAGTGGTGCACCACCTGAAAGCGGGGCCCTTTTCAGGAGCCGGACGGCGCGGTTTGTTGCAACCAGTGGCAAACAAAAGAAAGTCATGTTGTCTACTTTGTGACTGGAGGCCTGGTACCCTATATAAACAAATCGTTTCGGAGGAGATTCCAGTGACCAAAGGTGTCCCGGGATGGTTGGAGTTTGGTTGGTTTAGGGTTAAAGCCCCCGGGAATGCATCCCTGGAATTCCCCCAAAGCCTCATTTCGAGCCTGCAGTACCATCAATCCACTCCAAACGAGTCCCCTCACGATGGCGCAAACCAACCCTAAAACCAACTCCGACCAACCCCCACCCTTCTACAGGCAGAAGGGGGGGGGGGGGATGATGGGGATAGTCCCCGTAAAACCGGAGAGCACAACACCCAACAGGTAGTTTTTTTGTTCGCGCTGCCGTGGGACAAGTGTCGTGTGATTGACCCAAACAACTAACTCGGACTGGGCTGCTTGCCCTTGACCCCCAGTTCCCAGGGTCCTTTGGCAAGGGAATTTTGTCCGACTCATTGGGCTTCATTCCTCGAGGAAATTTACACTTGAAGAAAGGGATCTCCCCATGTTGCCCTTGTGGATTTGAACATCACCTTTTGGGCCGAATTTAAAGCGAGTGTCCTTTCGGAGTGTTTGGGAAAATATGGGAAAGCCCAGTTGTTTTTGCTTTTGTTGTTTTTGTTCGGGGAAATCACGATTATCCATACATGTTGGTTTGGTACTTTGATGTTCGGCCAACTTGGTAAGTGGTTAGCAACCTGGGTTGTACCCTCCTGGAAACCCATATGTGACGTTTTTTTTTCTGTCCATACGGCTTGGGCCACAAACAAATGACCATACGGTTATTTACGGCTTTTTGTCAACAATTTGTTGAAACAATACGGGTTGCATACGGCCAAATACGGCCACCGGCCAGCAAAAAATGACCATACGGGAAAAAATATCCAAATACGGGTTGCGTCCAAAAAAACGGCCATACGGCTTTCCAGGCTATTAATGAGAGGGTCAACTCCACTTAGGGGACCTACAAGTGGGGTATAATCCAGGTTACCAAGAACGCAACTACTAAGTCAGCCGCACACCCAAGTAGTCGAACAGGGACTGGCAGTTCTGAGCGAATAACTCAAAGGCAACATTCAGAAACACCTGAAATCTGGCGCGGGTTCCTCTTCTTTTCCTATTTGACCAACCTGAAGGGATTCCAACTCCACACAAGGCACACCAAAATGTTGACTCCTGAGCCAGATTTGGTGTTTTCCTTTGGGATAATTAATTAACTTCCCCATTGCGTCAAGGGCTTTAACCGCGGCTTTTGGAAAAAGTGCAAGGGTTGTCCAAGACAAGGGAATCAACCCCTACAATTTCCTTCGGAAACCCAATTCCACCCACTTCGACTGACCCTTCGGATCGCACGCCTCGTGCAGGAGCCTCGCTGCAAAGGGTATCCCTTCCGTCCTCGGCAAACAATCGGTTTGTCCGGACCAGCGACGTTGCCCTTCCCATTCGCCCTCGGAAAATCGGCGGGAAAACAAGTACGAGTTCTGGGTTGCTCCAAGCCAGTGAGCAAAAAAGGTCGATCACCTTTGGCAGCTCGAATGGAAAGGCCATACTTTTTCTAAGAGGTCCAAGGGGCCAAACCAAAGACCAGCCATAAATTGTCTATCCTTGTGGTGGATCCCATCTTCTTCGCGTGGTTGGCTTGGTCAAAACTCCCAGTCCAGCAAAACCTCGGGTCAATTGAGTGGACCCTAGCCTGTTCCACTGGATCCCAGGTGTTTCGCCCACAAAGTAGGTAACGCTACTTTCCTTTTGGTTTTCATGTCGGGCGGCAAGCCCTTGGTTATATATACAGGTAAATGGATCCATTCTCAAGGGATCCCAATCTACATCAAATATGATCCAACGCCCTACTGGACACTTGGGATCCCCCGGTAAACAACCTTCATCCCATTTGTGGGCTCGTTTTGTCGCCGATCCCTGAATCACTTGTAAGTGACCCTGGCCGTCATGACCAAGGCTTACCCGCGCGGAAGGTGGGAATGACCTTTCCAACCAGCCTGGAAAAAGAGAAAAAGAAAACTAGGAATCCTTGTGGGTTTGACTCAAGAACCCTCAGCCATCGGCTTCGGGCTCCTTTTTCCCCGAGAAAGCCCACCCCAAAAAACAACGAGAAAGAAGAACCAAGCGCCTTGCGAAGGGGGATTCCCGTCATGAAGGGCCCCAATCGCGACGGATATCTCTTACTTGGAGTCTAGTACCTTCCATCTCCATTCACGAGAATTGTTGCCAAACCGCGAAAAAAAAAAAAACACGCAACCAATCAAGTGTGTGTGTGTGTGGGGAACTCGAAAGAGAAGGATGAGTGAGGAATCAACCCTTAGAACTAGGCCCGTGGCCAAAGGAAAAAAAAAACAACGCATCTTGGCGAGTGATTTTAAAGGGGGACCCTGCGCACTGGGAATCTGTCTCTCGGGTTTCATTTGGGTCCCCGCCAAAAAAACAGACAGTGGGACAAGTGAGAAACCTCGGGTGGGATAACCCCCGCCTCCCCCAAGAACATAACGGTCTCTGCTTCTCCAGTCAGGTAGACTGACTAAACCATGGCTGTTTGAGTGCTTCTCTTTGTCGCCTCCCTCAGAAACAAGCCAACGGCCAGCCCTGAGTAGAAGCCAAGCGAAGGACACCGGATGAGTAATCAAAACCCATCGGAATCTGAACATGGTCTACCAAAGAACCGTGGAAGGCGGCGAAGGCACCGTTTCGTGGCAAGTGGCTCATTGTCCCTTGAGCCTCATCTACCCGGGTTTTGAACAACCCTCAGATACAGGAAGCACGATTCCATTCATCCCCTGGGCTGCTGCGCAAACAGTCGAACACCGTGTAGAGCCCACTCGACATGGCGAAATGCGACTGCTCGGATCGATCCCCGTCCGGAAGGCTTCACGGGCAACGCCCAAGATGAAGTTTGGGTCCCTTCCAAACGAGTCATTCTTTGTGGGTGCTGTATAGATCCCCCAGCAAAAAGTTTAACTTTCTGCTGGTTGAAAGGAAATATAAAGGGAATCCAAAAAGTTGTTAAAGTCTAAAGATCCAACCCAATAGCGGTAGAGTTCTTAGTGACCAAAGATCCAAACTGCGAAATCATCCCATCCGTCACTGATCATGCAAAACATGATTGTGACAGAACATGCCCAGGTCCGCTCAATCCGTCCGTGAAGGGAAGTGGCTGCGCTGGATCGCGCGATGCGATCAGACTCTCTTTCTCTCTCTCTCTCTCTCTCTCTCTCTCTCTCTCTCTCTCTCTCTCTCTCTCTCTCTCTCTCTCGCTCTCGCACACACACACACACTTGAACTCCAAATGGAGAGTGCTAATCTTTCGAGTACAACTGATGAGTCTCGAGTACAACTGATGAGTCTCGAGTACAACTGATGAGTCTCGAGTGGGTTCGGCTTGCAGTCACTTGGCTTCCGTCTAGCACACACACGCACACACCTGGCCACCGTTGCACAGCCAGGAACGAACGATCTGCAGCTTGTGGCAATGCTCCAAGGAGCAAATCTAATCAAGTCGCCATGGTCAAAGCCACATGAGGCCGCGGCAAAACCTCAATTGAAATGGGCTGCACATGTGTTTTCTTATCGTTTTTGCGTCAAAGTTTATCGTTTTACACATTAGATGTATGTTCAACCTTATCGTTTTTTTTTGCACCTCATCGTTTTACAGGGATTCGCGCATTTTTGGACAACTGCGCGCATCAGCTCTCATAGTGGCTTCAAAGGCTTTCTTCGTCGGACTCACGAGCAGCAAGCTCCTTCCATGCTTTTCGTTTGCGCTTGCTTGCTTCAATTTGTTTGGCTAGCCTGCGCTCATCAACTGCAATAATGTGTTCCAACGTAGAGTCCAAGACATGTTCCAACGTAAAAGACAAGTATGCTGTCCATGGCGGGGAGACAAAGGGAAAGCTAGGGTAGAGTGGCTAAGTTCCTCTCAATGGGCAACTCCTCACGGGCATGGGTTCTGTCAAAAAGCGTTATCGTTTTTGTTATCGTTTTGTTATCGTTTTCAGCGTCGTGACTCGGAAGCCTCTCCCGGGTCTCAATGCTCCAAGCCATGGTTGTGAACAGGAAGGACGGAAAGGGAGCAAACAAGATTGAGCAAAATGCTAGCAATACGTGCATTCCATGCTCCAAACCTTATCGTTTTCCAGCACAAACAACACGGAAACACCCAAAACCTTATCGTTGTTTTTTTGCACCTCATCGTTTTACCGGGCTTCGTGATTGTCCAACACAATGTGCGAGACTCTTACATCCCGCAAGCACGAGAGTATTGCCAGTACCTCACATGCTGAGTGAAAGGGAGATAAGGATCCAAGATGGTTTCCACGCCTATCCGACTTCTACACAATGCTAGTTCAAGGGGAACCCAATCGAAACCAACTGTTTTGGGGGACCCAACTCCAACCCAATTGTCATCAATCGAAACCTCAAAGCCACTCTTCCCGTGGGACTTCCCTTCCGAGGTGGAAGGTCACTTATCGAGTGATCCCTAATTCCGAAAATACAATTGTGACTTCGAAACATCACCTGTTTGGCCCATTCAATGGGATTTTCCCTAGGAAGTATACTAGAAATGCTGGTTTCCTTTTGCAACTGCCCTGCCAAAGGTCGCAGCCGTTTGAGCTGCAAAGTCAACTGATCTGTGATCTCCTTTTTGCTTGCGGAGTGGTTCGTCTGGGCGAAAGGAACTTGCTCCTTGAAAAATGGCTGGCATTGGGCACAAGAGTTTATCCTTCGGCCCGCTCTTCGAGCATGTAGTGGGGCCCACAAAACGGTGAATGGTTGTGGCTTGACACGAATTGGGAAACAGCTCCTTTCCTGAGGGGATTGCTTGCACAAATAACGTCAAAACTTGTTGTTTGCCACTGAAATGGAATGAGGTCCAAACCGTATGAAGCGCTGAAACTCATGGAACTCTCAAAATGGTAGACTCTTCTAAATTTAAAGGGACCTAACCATTCTGGGGGGGCCAATCCTATTTTGAAAGGTTCCCTTATCTTTGTACCCTCTTTAGAAATGAATTGAAGGGCGCAACCGAACGGGTTCTCGCAACTTGACCCCCGCCTTCGGCATGTCGTGACCTCACATCCCGCAGTCGGTTCAGCCCAGCCACAGCTCAGCTGGAAACTGACTTTGCTATCAATCTGCTTGTTTGTTTTGCGGGTTCATTTGAAAACGCCAAAAAAGGCAGCCTCAATCATATCAATCTTCTGTTTGCATTTGTAGTGTGTCTTTTTAAAGGAACTCCCCCCAATAGAGGTTTCCCTTTTGCGGGCTCCCTTTACAACAGAAACAAAGGTACTAGTACTAGTGCCAACTCCAAAACCGAACCCATACTGTCCAAGGCAAACATGCATGGTCTCGAACGTTGACCTAGGGAAACCAACCAATATCAACCAAGGTCGCTCAGACCCGATCGTGACAAGGGTCGATGAGTCAAAATCAAACCACCAGGGAACCGCAGGTTTTGGTCCTTGTTTCCATTTACCAGGGCAAGCCATTTTGGGTACCTATTGTTGACCCACACCCATTTGGCTCCTGAAAGGAAGCCGAATGGAGGCGATTGCCAATTTTCCACCAGCTTTTAGAATCGGCGAAGAGAGCAACCCGGAAAACCGGAAAACAACATGAGGTTTCTTAAAGTCTTAGAACCTCCCCGAACATACTGATTTGGGGATGGTCCCAAATCCCAAATCTCGTGCTATTTGGCGGGTTTTGCGGGGCCCCTGTTGCAGGTTCAAAGACCCAGCCACCTGGCTGTAGTGTGGGTTCAGTCGCAACCTGCAAGCATCAAACCGCGACACTTGGAAGTTGAAAAATGGCAGCCACTTGAGAGGTCTTGCGTTTGGCAAGATCTCCAAGCAATACCAATAGGCCTTGTAGTTATCCCCACAAAAGCAGGCAGTAGAACCGTAGAACCCCTACGCAACAGCCAGCGCTATTGTCTACACGCGACCTGCCAAATCGCCAAAACCAGGAGCTGCCATGTTGCTTGTGTAGTCCAGGAAATGTCAATTTCCAAACCCAAAAGCGGACCGGAACACAAAGTCGGCGGAGCTTGAGGGAACTTTTCAGTAGACAAATGCATCCCCCATCCCCCACAACAAGAACAAACAAGTAGGTTTTGTCGTAACATTAGTAAGGAGTATGGTGAGCATTTTAATAGAACTGTGGTTTGGGTAGAGAACAACTCATATTAAATGAGCAACTGACGGGCCCGACTTACTAGCCCGCACAAATCTAGAATTCACAACCTGCATGAGAATCCACAAGCAAGGACCTGCGCTGGTTTACCCACAACTCGCCACTGCCCTGCTTGCGGTGGGTTGTTCTGTGCCCCCAAAAACAACATAGATTTCCGGGTTGAAGGAAGGTACTAAGTTGGGAAGCCGATGGAAACCAAATCCAATGTGGTGCTTGTCAAGACCCGATCTGTCACATTGAAAGAAGCTATAGCCGAGGGGCCCTAGAGCTCACATTTCAGCTAAACTTCAAACACTGCGATCCAGCATGACAACATGTCGCTAGCTCCAAGACATGCTTTCAGCATCGCGTGTTCTGTCTTCAGCTTCTCATTCTCCATTATCATCCTCGATCAGTCAGACCTCTTCAGGAAGTTCGTGCTTCGCCTGAGGCCACTCCTGTCCGGGCTGTAAGAAATTGCCCATCTGACTGGGAGCGTGCCCCTTCGCTTCCGCATGATCCCGGTAAGACCTTGTCAGGAACAACCAAACCGTACTGAGACCTCTGGGAAAAATGCTAAATTGTTGTCAGCAGTGATAGATTCCCTACAACACCACTGGGATCCACAACACAACATATTCTGGAGCAAACAAAAAATACTGAGGCCTTGTAAAGGAGCTAATCCCTGAAGGGGGAGCTCAATGGAGAGTTTTGAGTCCACTCGTGGGGTTTCTGCTACACCCGTCGGATGCGTGCTTGCGCGTAAGGCTGGCGAAGGAGGAGGGCTCACTTACCCTACCAGTTGACATGGAACCCGATGGAACCTGACAGGGGGGTCCTGGAAGACCATTTTCCTTTTAAAAGGTTTTGGTCTGGTTCCATGTTGATCGGTGATAGGGTAATGGAAACACCGTTTCCAACCAAAACCGTAAATTCAAACATGAATCAACACTGCACCTTTGCTGGCACCCGGGAACCTGAGTCAACCCCAACCCTTCCGGGTCTCGGGTTCCGGGGAACCCCGGCACGAGAGAGGCGCTCGCGCTTGGTCTCCTGGCGCAAGACGTGATCCTGGTGATTGAGAAGGATTTGTCTCTTAAGCCCATGGAAACCTATCCATTTGGGGAGCACGCTATTCATCAAAGGGTGACTCCCCTAAATGGATACATTTTCCATTGGTTCGTGCAGCAACAAACGCAAGATGGGCACCCTCAAAAAATTGCCCGCCCATAACTTAACGGGCTGACTCTTGGATCCATTCTTGCAGATCTTTCCATGTCCCAGCGATGGATGCATGCGGCAGCAAAGGAGAAAACAGGAAGAAAGACAAAACAAAAGACAGAAATGGAAAAAAACCAGTCTGTCAACTGCCCTTTCAGGAGGGTGCTCTATTAACACACCTCCTGGGAGGAAGGTTCGTGCATGCTTTAAGCCATGCCGGGCAGGCTCACCAAGTCGGGAAACATATGCGTTTCATTATGGACACCTTGGGAAGGTTAGATGACACTGAGGTTTGAGGCCAGCGGGCACTTGGGGCAAGGAGCAAAATGAACATGCTAATTGAGACACTACTCCGGCATACAGAAAATAATTGGAATAATGTACAGGACAGGCGCCATCTGTTGCATCTTGCGATGACAATGCCGTGGTTTTAGACACGGAAAGTCGTGAACATCGGCGAGCGAGAATTCCGCGATGTGAACTAGCT